CAACCACGATAACAATTATGAACGAAATTTCAAACCTAGATGCATATTCTAGTTTTAGATGTCCACGTATTCAATTGGATTCGTTCGAGTCAATTCAAATGGGAGAGACGCCTGGTACCGTCGTCGGAATCAATCGTCGGGCTGCCACAGCACCATCGCCACCGCTGTCCGAACCTATTCACTGTCCGAACCCAGCCCTCTGCCCCGATTTATTACTGCCCGGACGCCACTGCCATAGGACCCCTCGCGGGACTACCGCCGTTAACAGAGGTCGCTGGAAAACATCGGGGTCAACCCCATCGCCCGTTCAATTGCTGCTGATCGGAACTACCCGCTGCCCGGACTCCGTCGCCGGAGCACGGAGGTTACTGATTCACCAACCCGGTCACCACCATCGCAGAGATCGCTGGAGCAGGGAGAGAGATCTCAGGAATTTGCCGATGCTCCCAAACGCCATTGGAGGTCGTCGGGATTGCTGTTCCGGTCTCATCAGGCGTCGTCAGCCATAGTTGCCGAGGGAGGCCATTCGATGGATTAGAGGCAGTCCGGCTGGATCTGCCCGTCTGTCGTCGCTGCTACCCGCTTGAGAAGGAGGACGAGTCGCCACCGCCAGTCCTAACGTTGATTGCCTGAGAAGCCCGACTCGTGCATTGCTCGTGGATTGGAGATGAACGGGGAAGGAAGTCGCGACCTTGCCGCTGCGTGCTGCTGTTGTCGTGAAAGAAAGCCGGAACAAGGCTAACATGTAGAACAAGAAAAAGGGGTATCATATATTGGTCTCAGTAATTTAAAATAATGTGTCTGGGTAAAACATAGGGGTGAGCAAGTACCGAACCGATACCGAAATTTCCCGAAAATACCGAGAATACCGAACCGAAAAATACCGAACCGAAAAAGTACCGAGAAGAAACCGAACCGTACCGAACCGAATGGTCGGTACGGTATTTGGGAACGGTACGAGGTGACGTACCATACCGAAAATCCCGAACCGAACATATATACTAAAATATTATAAAAAATAATAACCCGGAGTAATATTTTTCATATTCCTTCACTAAATAATACGGAGTAATTTTTAAAAAAATATTGGTTCAAGTTTTATCATGTGTAAGTTATACTTTTATTTGAGTTTTAGTTTTTGTGTATAAACATAAAAGTATTCACAAAGATTCGAAAAACCCTTTGTTGTCGTTCATTTTTT